TTGTATATAGCATGTATTTTTCTAATGTTATTCTCATATTGTTCTATTTTGAAACAAGATACGCAATGTAAAAAAAATGAGATTCACAATACGAGAAAAATCCAATTTCCACGAGAATATTGAAAAACTATACATATTTCTCGTTATATGTATTATGTATTGTATAATAAACTACAGTAATCTGAGATAAATCTTTTAGATAGAATGTCATCATTAACTCTAAAGAAATTCGAAACAGAAATTTTTTATTAACATGCAATTTAAGTTACGTAGCAACCGGAGAATATTACATTACAAACTTTAATAACAGTACATTTGATTATAATACACCTGTACGTTATTGATGTAATGTTATCGGCTTATCGCCGGAATGCTCGATTAGCGAATAGCGTGACGGACTTGCTACAGACCGTTGCAGATTATATCGCAAATTTTGCACGTGCGCGTGTGAAAATTTATCGATGCAGTAAGATTAAATAATCATTTAACAGTAACTTTTTCCAAATCATCGTTTCTCGTTCTTGAAGTAATTAACTTACAAAAAATATTTAAAAATTTTATTTGTAAAATAAAAAAATTTCTCTATGCTTTGCTCAAGATATACATAAGAAGATGAATATAAAATAATTAAATAATTAAATTTGATCCTAATATATCTATGTATATTAGACTAATAAACAATTTTTATGTTATCTGTTTGGTATTGCAAAGATAACTCGATTATGTATGTAGTACGTCTTTACTCAGAGACAGTTTATCCCTTGGGAAAATTTACCTTAGAAATCTTTAAAAAAAAACTTAAAAGTTACTTTAGAGAAAAACTTAAAAAAGATTAAAGGTAAATTTGAACACTTTAAAACTATTGTTTAAGGTAATCTTATAACTATAAGGTACTTACTTCAAGAAGAATGTATAAAAAATCTTAAAATTATGAAAAGTAAATTTTGACAATTTTAAAGTTAAAAATTTACTTTTCATAATTCTAAGGTTTTTTCACAAGGATAACATTGCTGTAAACTAAATTTGTTATTATTTTATTTATTATAAATTTTTAAAGTGTTTTTAAAATATTATTCAGTACACCCATGTTTTACAATTTAATTTTCATTTGTAACTCTGCCAGATTTATTAATTGCTGAAGAACTTCTTGTTTTGGTCTGGGTTTGCTAGTTCATTTAGTGTTTCTATAAGTAATTGTTTTGCGGCTCCATTTGTTAAAATACTGCAATTATTGTCAAACATGCTAATTAATATATTTAAACCTGACGATAATTTAATACAATTTTGTTTTTTACTTGAAATCCTTTATACGAATCTTTTATCCTTTATACTCGTTTCAATGGAAGCAAACTATAAAAACTAAAGAAAATCTTATAAATTACTTCTTCCTAATAAGGACAAACATATAAAAGAAGATAAATATTTATATCTTATTTTAAAACTTAAAAGCACTTTAAAAATTCCAGATGCAATATAGAAATAATAATAAAGAATAGTTACACACACTATTTTATATCACAAGTGCGTCTAAAGTTTAAAGAAGAACTTGCAGGGGGTAAGGGGGGGCGAAACATCCCCGAGTTGAGAGAAATGGGCACATACGGGAGCAGGGTTCGGGGGAGCGAACCCCCCCCCCCCCCGAGCCGAAAGTCGAGGCGCAGGCGAGGAGGGGGTGCAGAGCCCCTCCCCCCGCCTATAATAAAAGCAACGTTTATTACAGGAGCAAACATGATGTGATAAGAAAGGTGAAACAACATTACGCAGTAGTCCAATCTTGACCAATAAGAATTGGGTCAAAATGCTTGTAGGCTCGAGGCGTCTCCGTTTCGCAGTTGCTTTTGCAAGTTAAATTTTCGCCGGCTCGTATCAAATTTTTTCAAATTATTTAAAATTGTTTAAAATATCAGACAACAAACTTAAAATATTATACTAAACATTTTACTATTAATTATTTTTTTCTCAAACTTGATTCACATTATTTTTGTGATTAAAATAAAATAATTAGCTGCAAAAAATTAAAAAAAAAAAAATTAATTGAAAAAGCCTAACCGACCAAAAACATCGCGACATTCCTCTAATTAATTTTTTGTAAACTTTTTAATTCAAAAGTAGTCTCTCTGTATATAATTCGAGGCTAGTTGGGGTAGAACTTCTTTTTCCGAACAAATAAATCACGGAAGCAAATAGCTTGCGAGTCATTGAGCGTCAATCTTGCGCGATACGACATATTCAGTCGATTCAAAACACCTAATAACTGAACCGTAAACCATCTGCTCTGAATAAGTAAGTCACACATTAATGTCCGTTCTTCAATTTGCTTATGAAAGTTTCGTTTTATTTCAGGTGCAATTTAAATTTATTTTAGAGATTGCAGAACAACGAAGGAGCGTAGCGAATCTAGCGAAGCACAACCATACTTACTCATGCAAAATTATGCAGCAGATATTTGATGAAAAAAAAAAATATATATATATATATATATATATATCATAAAATACGATAATACGATAATAGGTACGTTTATTAAACTAATTATGGATTGATATTTTTAGTAGCTTTACAGCGTGCATTATAATTGCACAAAATAATTTGTTTACGTAGTTTTATTGCAGTATAAAAATTACCTTTTAACTGCGTTAATTACAAGAATGTTACTTAAAAAATACTGTTTTTTAAATATATAAAAAAAAAATTATATAAAAAATAAGCTAATAATAAAAAAAGTTTATTAGATATAATAGATTATACAGGGTGTCAATTTAAAAACTTTTAGTCGGAATATCTCGGGAACTAGTAAAGATATCAAAACATGGTTTGGAGAGAATATAGGGTAGCAAAAGGAACATACTTTGATTTAAAAAAATTTGACCTTGGGTGGAGGCGTCATGGTCAAATAAAGGTCAACTTAATTTTTTTAAATAAACATATAATTTTTTTAAACACTTATAGGTTTGTAGCTAGTAGCTCTTTTCATTACGAGGTCAACGTGCTATGATCCAAAGTCGTCGAAGGTCTAATGCAGGCTCACAGTATTATTGTTTTTATACATGTTATGAGACACCTTTTGCAGCTGCAGTTTTGCGAATCGACAATGTTGGATTCATTGCATAATGACCTAACACTTCAAGTTGAGTTGCTACATTCACTATTCTTTGTACAGTTCCGTTTTTGTTTGCTGTTGATTCTGTTTCTTCAAATTTTAATATTAATTGTTGGACGTAGGTGATTGACATTTTTTTCTAGTTTACTTAAACTGGTAAGTACAATGAGTGCTAATTCTTATTACAAGTGTTAATATAGTGATTCTACATACCAAACTAAGTCATCATGACATTGCCCATATCCACAAATATAACAAATACGAACAAAAATAGCAGTCTAACAACAAAATCCGTTCGATTTTGATTTGACACGCGGAATTATCGTGACTTATACTACGAATTAGCACTCGCTGAACTTATCAGTTTAAGTAAACTAGATATATAATTTATTTACTTAGTAAAAATTGCAAAACTAAAAAAGGTGTCTCATAACATGTACAAAGATAATAACACTGTGAGCCTACATTTGGTCATTCGACCTTCGACGACTTTGGATAATAGCACGTTGAGTATAGTAATGAGAAGAGTTACAAACGTAGATATTTAAAAAATTATGTGTTTATTAAAAAAAATTAAGTTGACCTTTATTTGACCATGACGCTTCCACCCAAGGTTAAATTTTTTAAAATCGAAATATGTCTTTTATTTTTTTCAAACCATGTTTTGATATCTTTGCTATTTTCCGAGATATTCCGACTGAAAGTTTTCAAATTGACACCCTGTATACATATTATACAGACACAAAAAAAACATTTATTAAACATAAACGTTATTTTTTTAAGTTTTTAAATTTAAATAAACAAAATATTTTTTTGTTGATAAAATATATTTCTTATTAATCTTTAACTTAATTACTTCAATTAAAAGTAAAATACATCATATAAAATATATAATATAATTTAATATAATTTATAATATAATATAATATAATTTAATATATAATATAATTTAATATAATATATAATTTATGGCATATAGTTATGCCATAAATTGTGTTCCTATAAAAATAAATTTATTTTATAATTAAAATAAAAAGCAGTATAAAGTGTATTATATACATATTTTATTGAATTGATTAATCATAATATAATAATTTATAATATAAAATTATAATAACTACTAAAAAAATGTCCATCTTCTGACTTCACAAATTTCTACAAACGATTAGGCTTCAAAATTTCGTAGCATGCAGAATCTCGATGCTGCTGTCTTCACCAAATTAGCCTTCAGAGCTTCAATATTTTGGGGAAGCATGAAACAAATTTTTTCGACTAAACTTGCGTTCGTTTATTCACATTGAGAGCATAACGTATATTATAGATTTTATTTTTTCAATGGGAATAAACAAACGCAGGCTAAATTTTAAAGAAAAGAGCTTGTTCTAAATCTCACCAAAATATTGATTGTTTAAAGATTAATTTGATGAAGGAAGGTAGCGTCGATACTCATTGAGATTTTGTATGCGAGACTTTAAAGCCCGATTTGAAATTTGTGATAGCAAAAGGTTAGATTTTTAATAGATAGTTACAATTATTTTTATTTTGTAATTGTTTAATTCAATAATACGCGTATATCTACAATTTATACTATTTTTTATATTAGTTATAAAATAAATCTAGATTTTTAAAAATAAAATTTATGATTCCACTATTGTATATGTAATGTAATTATTTATGCAAGTAATTTTACATGTACAAGAAAATCGCAATATACATTATTGCTTTACATTCTAGCATAGCCTAATTATCTTGAGAAAAAAAATATTTTAATCGTAAAAAAATCATAAAATTCTTCGGCAAGCGAGCCAATAAAATAACGAAAGCGTGCCCAAGCAGCAGTCGAATATAAGTCGTAAGTAATAAAAACAGAATTTATTTGTAGGAGGGAAGGATGACGTACCTTGTAACCGAGGTAGGCAAGCAGTAAAGCTTCGGTTAACGACACCATAGCCAAGATGACTTGAACAACCCACAACTCTAAGGGTCGTCTGACCCACAGGATCGCATCCCAATTGATGGTTGGGTGGTCTTGGAACTCCTCCTCCGTTAAGTTCTGTGACGCGAGAAACTCGGTCTTGTTGCCGGGTGTGCAACCGTAACTGGCGAGAGATAGAGAGAGAAGGGTTATAAATGACGGATGAGTGTGTGAATAGGGAGGGACAGATTGTCGCGTGATATTTGGCGTGCACGAATCAGACGAGTTCGATAGGTTTTCGATATCAAGTACGTCGTTTGGGTTGCATTGGGGTATACGCGCAAATATCACCGTCGCACGGAAAGAATAGGAAGGACACAATATCGAATACCGAAAAAAGCTTATACAGCCGATCAAGAACGTATTGAAATATTTACGTTTGATGTATGAAACTTACAGATAAGATACTTTTACTGAGATCGCCGTTGCCGTCAGTGACAGTTTTCTCGGAAAATTAGGAATCGATAGCTCTTTAACGGAAATTTCATTGGAATCTTAATCATTAATTTTAATTATAAAATTATTTTGAATATTAGTTTTAGTAAATTTCGCTTAAAAAATATCAATAGATGATAAAAACTCCATTATCAAACAACTCAAATACATCAATTAAAACAAATAACATTTCTAATTTACCTACTAAGAAATCTAACAATAAAGATAAAACCTTGTATAAAATTATTAATAAATTACATTTTTAATCAAATTTTTTTTAACAAGATTATCCCTATATATATGTTTATCAAAGATTATTTACGAGAATAGTACCTAATGTGATTCTTATTAGTGTTCTATACAATTTTAAAAGATTGATTATAAAACGTTAATAATATTTAGATTTAAACGCTTAAAATATAGATTATTATTTTGTTCAAAAATATTGTATATATAAAAATATCGTAAAATTTTTGGAAATTTATCCGTTCTCATATATCTATATATGCAAACAACATCACGTCGTAATGTATTCGTCGTATCTACTGTCTTATCTCCGTGTCTTATTCTGAGCCATGATAGGAATGCTGCATAATATTGTAATTATGCATGAGTATCGCGTTGCTCACACGTTAGAGCGAGCTTATTTCTAGGAAGATAAAATTTTTCCAGAAAATCGTTCCGTCAACGACGAAACGGAATAAAACCAAATGAAGCAATTCCTTTATTTTCAGCATTACGTTGGTTGCAATTCGTGCTGCTACATACATAGGATATTCCAGATTTCCTTTTTATTTTAGAACTTTTTATTCTTATTCCACTAATATGAATATATTCCCAATTTTAATTTAATAACAAAAATACTTTATAATTTTGTTATTAAGTATTTCTGTTATTAATTGTAAGTATAATTTGTCATTTGTCAGTCAAGTAATATGTACTTAATTGAAAGGTACTGCAAAGAAACGACAACGCGTTCTCAGTGCCATAAAATACCTAGAAATTCTTCCTTTTATTCGCATAAGATAAATAAAATGAAAAAATACATAAAAATATTAAAACAATAATAATTGCAGTTTTGCATTTTGTATAACATAATAACAATTTTTAAGTAGTCCATTTCTAAATTGTTATTTCGTCGGATACATCCTTATAATATTTAAGTTTTTATTTGAAAAATTCAAACGCGAACAAAAATTCGATGCAAACTTTAAATTTCTATTAGGTTCCGTTTAAAAGGACTTATTCGGATATTTAACGTAGCTTACCATGCTGCGAACGTTGGATCGCTGTCGGTAATAACCCTGAATATATACAGGAAGCATGTTAAGAGCTTGAAGAAGAGATTGGCAAGTCGTATTCTCAAACCTGAAACATAAATTTTATTTCTTTGTTGTGATTTTTACATTTTTATTTAATTTAGGAATGTATGTACATCTCTGTAACTAAATTCAATTTTCTTTTCTTTTTTTTGTATTACGTATTAATCTCATATTAGTTCTTTTTTGTTTTTTTTTTATTATATTAAATCCTTTTCTAAAAAGGAGATGTGAAGTTTATTGTTGCCGCTTTTCCGCGATGCCGATTGGTTTCCTTGCTGCGCTTACTTCATTTGCAGCTGTCATTGTATATTTTGACAGTTGTGTATAATAGGGTTAATAGTGAAATGTTAAAGATAAATAGCGCGCGCGTAGCGCGCGTCTGTAGTGTCTAGTTGTAATAAAATGAAATATAATACTACGCTTCGATTTATATAAGATTTATACTATAGATTAGAAATAAGTCTAAAGATAATTATGAGAGAGAAATGCTTTTTATATTATTTTCTATCATGCAATCAATAAATTTTATAGATAAACATTTTCAAGAGTTTTTTTAACAGTTCTATTTTTATATAAATATTAAAATACTAATATCTCCCTCTGTCTTTATATTTTCATCTCAAGTTAAATCTAATGCTGAATGTCCCTTATTTACCTAAAAAGTATACAATTAACAGCATATCATAAACTTATATCTATCATAATCTTCAATCATAAACTTATTTAGTTATAAATCCAAAATGTTCTAAATTTCCTAAAAATAATTTTAGTAAAACTTTTATAAGATAAAAAAAATAATTTGAAAGATCTTCGCTGGGAATTTAGTGCACACAACATAATCTAAAATAATAAAAGACTACATCTATAAATATATAAATTATATAGCATATATATAACTCTGGTATTTACGCCGCAGATGTCAGAAAAAATAGAAAAAATGAAGGTACTTGCTCGCAATTATTCTGTTATGTGCCTTTATGCCACATTAGTATTGTGTTGTAATTTCAGTTCTTTACTGTTAATATTAACGAAACTGTTGTGAGTTGAATCGATTTCTCACCGTAGTAAGAAACGTGATCTTGTGTTACAACCTATGTAAAATGATTACTGTAGGGAATGTAAAAAGTTTAATGTTTATTTCATGATACATAAGTGTAGAGAGATAGTAAATAATGAAATACAGCAAAATACAAGTGCATAGCTCTTGTATTTTTTGCTTAACTTAATATCTTATATATCTCTCCTGTTTAGGATATACGGCAAGTTAGCATGCGGGATTTATGCCATAGTACAGACACTTTGTAAAACTCGAAATTTCCTGTGTGTTCTTTTTCCTTATTTTTTGAATCGCAATAATCTTTAATGCATCTATCGCTCTTCTATTTTTTTTTTTAATTTTTTAGTTTTATAATTTGTTTATCATTCTTACATTTTAATAAACTTCTTACACACATTTTATAACTTATTATGACATTTTATTGCCTTATTTATAAATATTATTTGTAATTTTTTATAAGGCGTATATTTCACCCATGAATGCCATATTGCCATATAACACACTCTTCTGGGATATATGGCAAAAATGCAAGAGTTTCTAAAAGTTTTTTTTATTAAATACAAGGAATGAATATTTCATGTTTTGATTTTTTTGTAGTAGCAGACAGTATAAAGTTTTTATTGGTATAATTTACTTGCCTTAAACATAGTAAATAGTACTTAATAAATTAAGTTTCCCTTAGCTGCGGCGTACATACCGGAGTTACCCTACGTATAATGCAAATGTATCGTAATTTACTAATTTAAGCGTAAGGAAAGTTACGTTAATATGCTAAGGATTCACTAACAATAAGACTTAGATCAAAGATTGGTTTAAGCTTGGACCGAGTATCGACCGTCCAAGTAGCTTAACTATAAGTTACCCGCAACAAACTTCACAAAGGGCAGCAAAGCGTTGACCTGTTGGGCTCACGTCCTAATGCATAGATCAGATACAAAGACCAACACCATTAAGAAGAATTGGTGGCAACGCAATATCTATTATCGGTTACCATCATCACAGTTCCAAAAGAGCACAATCGTGCACTTTCAGAATATCCGTGGAAATGATGGCGGCGATATTCTCAAGATTGCCTTTGGAACGGCTTTGCTATTTCAAAAGAAAGCTTTCGAGACCGCGTTACGACAAGCCGGAAGATCGTTCATGACAATCCGGCTATTTCCGGCGACAAATTTGGTAAAAATACTAAAAATATAATAATGATACGGTGCAGCGATGTAGTTAAACTTATTTCGAAAGTTGTATTATTTTTATCAGAAATGTTTTTGCCTCCATATATCATATTGTTATACTATCATATTACACTGTTAAAGGTTAGAGAGGATGAAATTTAAACCAATAACATAAGTTAGATAATATTTTGTTATTTTTAACTACCATGTGCGTCAAAATTTATTAGTTTGAAACAAAATAGAATTAACAAAAATAAAACCTTAAAACGGGCAATAAGACCTTAATAGAAAAATGAAGTTAAAATAGAATTATTTTAACTTCATTGGTTTAGTCAAATTAACATTGTTTTAGTTAAACTAACTACACATTGAGTAGGAGCAGTGGCGATCTATGAAATAATTAAAAATTACTCAAATTTGAGTTTAATTTAACCCTATAAATTTAACAGTGTGTTATACTTCATTTAAAGTATTATACAAACATATATGTTATATTTTAAATTACTAATGTTTAGTAGTTAATTCAGTAGTTAAGCGACAGGAAAGTTGGATTAAGTTATGTAAAAGCATATAAATAAAAGCGTGACATATTTTAATTCTACTACGTATCTGGCATGTCACGATGTAGTGCGGAATGTAATGATGCTATCAAATAGCGTGAGATAGAAATATAGATACGAGTTTATGACAGCGGATCTCTCTCCTACCATGAGGTATGCGATATCAAATGTATAATCGATGTGTATCAACACGCGATACCATGTATAAATTATAACAAACAATTTTATACCAATTGTGACTATCATATCACGACAATCTTTCATCGCGGAAATATAGGACAAAACAAAATTCATCAAAATATAAGTTTAATTAACGCACTTTTATGATTGACAATGTAAATTCCAGCGATTAATTTTACGAAATCTTTTAGTTTTCCATAAAAGCTTCAAATTATGTATATCTAGAATTTCAAATTTATCACAGTAGAGATAAATAATCTTTACTTTTTTTATTACAATCAATCTTTACTTACTCGAACGTTGATTCTTGATGAAGTACAACTGCAGTCGTTCCTTGAATGTGTTTTCGTTCACATAATACTCAACACGAACCCTGAAAGCAGACATACAACGATATTATTGCTAACTGGTTCTGCAAACTTTTCGTAAATGTTAACTAATTTTACCCAACTATATTCAACCATATTAAATAAGTTTTCAACCATATATATTTAATAACTTTAGTAAATTCCGTATATTTGTTTGTATATAAGGTACCCAGATAGTTAAATCTGTCGAGAACAGATTTTGAAAGTATTTGCTGCAAAATTTTGTCAATAGAATACCAGCAGAAATATAACAGAATCTGCTAACAGAGTATAATGGCAGATTGATTGCAGAAACTGAGCAAAATCTGCTGTTTTGTAACCATTTAAAAGATGTATTCCATTTAAATGTTTACGAAATGACGAATTTTGCTCGGTTTCTGTCGACAATTTGCTGTCAGATTATATCGGCAGATTTTGCCGGCAAAACACGAGTTTAATGCGGACACGGATGATATCGGATCTGTTGCGATACCTGAGCAAATCTGCTGCCAATCTGTTGTCATATTCTAGGGATTTTATTTACTGATGGGTATATAATTGGTCTTAACATATGTCGCGAATTCTCTTTATTTTTCTCGACAAATCTTGTAAAAATATTCTATAGCAATGTATTTATATCTGTATCAACATTTGTGTTTACGAATATGACATAATATCATGAGAGAATACAAATATTTATATTTATATTAGGAAAACTTGTGTTGTTTGACCGGAACTATTTCAAGATCAAAGTATTGACAAGAAATGTCGTTATATTATTAGGTTTGCATGACTAATCAAACAACCCCAGGCAGCATGCTAATGTTTGCTGAATGTTAATTTTGTGTTATATATGTTTATTGTTTGATTCCGAACAGTCAGTTAACATTCTGAAAATAAAATTCTTTCAAAGAGTTATGATCTAAACGTTGAACGAACGTTGCAGGTATAGCTATTACTACTTTGCCTTTTAATCGCGTTATTTTTGTGTTCAGATGCGAATGTTTTCAGAACATTTTACTCCAACACTTGTAGCAAAATATACACAAGTCCGAATTTTTCTAAAAACAGATCGAATCATCAAATAAAGGATACTGGGAATTGAAAATGGAGCAAGGGGGGATGAACAGAATAAAAGGCAAAAAGGGAATGAGTGAGAAGGAGGTTATGAAGAGAGAGAAGAAAGGGTTATTAACCTTCGTCCGCAATATGCAGACGCGAATCGCATCGTAACAGCGCGGTGAGCAAGGGTTATCAATCTACCTTTCTCTCTCTCACCTAACTTGGACTGCTTGAACACAGATCTTTTCCACGGGTTTTAATTAAATATTATTGCACAGTGAACATCATTATGCCAGGTAAGTTTATAATGTTTCTTCTTATGCAGAAATTATAAGGCTGATGGCAGAGAACGAAATGTAAACACTTAACGTTCTCTGCTATCAGCCTAACGTTAAGTTGTAGGCTAGTCGTGCATAGAGGTAGCCGGTTATTACATTAGTCTCTATGACAATCATGATTGCTTTTGTTACGATAATTATTGAAAATTGATTTTTTACAGTGTTTTCGTGTATTTCAGATTAGGAAGATGGAAATTTAAAAGACTATTTATTTAATCTCTTAAAATATACACATCAGATATTTTACAAACATTAGTCGGGAAAAATGTCGGAAAAAAAACTTGTCGGTCAATGTCAAATTCAGAAAATGGCACAGATATCAGTGAATTCAACACAAAACATATCGGACGATGACTTCTTTTTGGAAGAGGAGATATCGCATGATCCTACTGTTATTCTCTGCTCCCTAAACACAAGTTCTTCTCATGTTAGTGCTTTTTTTAGTGATGAACCCATAATCTCTTCACTTAATAATAACTATGCTATGGATTTTACCCAAACTGATTGTGATGCTGAAGATTCTGTTTTGCAAATGCTTTCAACAAATGTAGTATTAACTCCGACAAGAATGGCTGAAATTTTCAATAATTGTATTGATAGAAATTTTTCAGACTCAAATCAAGAACCAGATATTAAGCCATTAGTTGTACGCCTTCGAAGATGGTATTGTTCTTTACGTGTTAATTTGACTCAACTAAACATGTTGCTAACTGAACTTAAGCTTGATCATCCTGACTTGCTTTTAGACCCCTACGGTGTATAGTGCAAACACCAGTCTATGTGAATATTAAGCCTTTAAATAATGGTGGTTACGTTCATATTAATATTAAGCACGGACTCGTAAAACGTATAGAGAGTGAAATTAAACCGATCTTTGTAGTACAAATTATTTAATAATATTTATTTATAGTATATACTTTTCTGTTACGTCCAGCGGACTCTACGATATCCCTTTTTCGCGGGAATTCTTATGCGGCTAAGATAGCTCTAAGATTAGAATAAACAAGCCAAGTACGGACGGTTATCGATCGGGGTGAGGTTAGATCTCCTCGCATTCTTTTTTTTTATGATCAAACTACCCATTTGGTTGGGCAACTAAAAGCAACCCCTCAGATGATAAATTATTAACAGACGAGGGATATGGTGACCAGATTCTCGTCAACCTCGTCTGGGCCATAACTATAAATCCGGCAACACGACGCGCAGAAAAAAGCCTTAACTTCAGACGAGGGATGATGGGGATCTGTATTATATCGCGCGACTCACTCAAAACTGGCCGTGCTATGTTCCGACAAACAGAAACGAAACCTAATACGTGCTTTTAGAAATCTTAAGAGTACGTGGCGGAAGTTCTGTTTGCAATAAAACTGCACTTAAAATTGAGAAGTATGGATCGTCTGTCAGGAGGGAGACAGGGTCGCGAGATAAGTAAGGAACCCTAATAAAAGAAACGATAGCCGAAAAACAAATGCGTCACTGAAAAGAACCGATGGGTTACACCCCCAATAAGACATGTGGCTTTAAGAGGGGGGCTCACCAATAGAAAACCGCAAAAATCGATAACCGTCTCTAGCTTTCTAGGATAGGCGTAAACCCAAAATCTCCCCCTTGGGCAAGAAACATCTCGCCCAATAAGAATTCCCTTAAATAATAATCAGAAACATCCCGCCAACCAGAAATCCCTTAAACGAAAACCAGACACATCCCACACAAAATCCACCCCTTCCACCCTCCGAACCTTCTTATTTAAATCGCGACATCGCAGGACCCGGTTCAGAGAAATTTTCTCATCTCAAGTCCGCATTGTTCGGTTACAATTTAAACCTCATTCGAAAAGCTCACGTTTAGAGTCACGTAGAGTCAGTGCAGCAGATCCGACGGACCAGTCGCCCCAACCCACTCACCGACGAGTCCAACGTCCATTGAGAGAAAGCGTACTGAGACGCGTTCGAACTCATCAAGTAGTAAGTCCCATAATTTTCTTAATCCTTTTTCCGCGTTATCGCCCCCCTTAAACGGTCTATCGATTGTCGGACCCCGGAAGCTCGTTATATATTTGGGGGTCGGTCAGCGTAGGCGGCAGGTTCCCAGCGGTCGTTGGCGTTGTCGCGGGCCGGACTTACCTCCCGGCGTCTCGTCGCTGTCGTGGACTCAGCTGGTCCACTGACCTCCCTGAGCTTATGCTCGTGGGTCGGTTAGTGTAGGCATCGAGTTCCCAGCGGTCGTTGGCGTTGTGGTAGGCCTGACTTGGCTCCCGGCGTCTCGTCGCTGTCGTGGGCCCAGCCGTCCGCTGACCTCTCTCCCCTTTCTTTAAGCTGAACGATTTCCTTTTGCTCGCTTCCGGCCGGGTCCGAGAGAGATCGACCTAATGAGTAAATGGTTTTAGTGGACCCGAAAGTCCTGGCCCCTCAGGAACCAAACCTTCGTACAATCAGGCGACAGAGAAATCGCCAGAACAAGCGGGCGCGACGGGAGATCGAACTCCCCCGAGAGCAGCTCAACGCCGGTCCTCCGCGACTCGCCATCCCACCGCCCCTACCAGCGTTTACAGAAGAACCCGGTTGTTCGAACCGGAATCGTCCCACTAACATCCTGCCCTATCGCCCAGTCGTCCTGCCTTTTCGCCCAATTATCGAACATCGCCCTATTTGCCGCGTGGCTCCGTTTCGCGTGGTCCCTCCTCGCGTGGTCCCCGACAACCCCGATCCAGTCCGCTTCCTAGAACCTCCTGATTCTCCCCCCTCTTCCCGAAGTTCGTCCCCAACCTCCTCAACTGCCTCGACTCTCGATCTCGAGGAAATAGGCGATCCTGAGATCGTAACCTTAGATTGATAGTTATAAAATTAAGTTTTACTTATTTCAATTCTCATATACTGTACTTCGTCGATTAACACACACACACAGTAAATTCATCTAACTTCAATCCTAAAGCAAATTGTAATAATAGCGGGCAGGATGTGCATTTTCAAGTAGCTATCCCCTTAGAAATCTTGCCCGATCACCCCCGCACTTATGTAACACCCGCGAGAAGTACACACATATACATTTCCATTGCAAAATGTTTTCAATCTCCCGTTTAATTTGCCTAGTTCTCACCTATTGTAATATCGACAGATTACTTAACTTCGATTTATAATAAATGTTTTATTTACGTTAAATATAAATTTCCATTTATTTATAATCTAAGACCTCACCCACCATTCTTCCACCACTCGAAATTGCACGAGGTCCGATCCTGAGTTAAAGGGATTAAATTCTCTGACTCGAAAAAGGACCGATGATCGCACTGCTCACGAAAGGCGTCCTAACGTCTTTACGGACGTTGACCTTTTCTGAGTCGTAAAAGTGCGTTCGGCTCGCGCCACGCGTCTCAGAGCGCGTACCTGCGAGCTACATTTGTAAG